GCAGCTCAGCAATCTGGCTTTCTGCCTCTGGTATGCGCACGCACCCTGTAATGTTTGTAGACAGGAAACCTGTGTATATGAAAAGTCAGTTTCTCTTCAGTATGCATTCAGATACACATGTAGACATTATGAAATATTTTTTTGGCATAGGTTTAGCATTTTTAGTTAGAATTTTTAGCATTTTTTTGGTTTTTCAATGTGTACTGAAGCATTCCTCGCATTCACTCTTATTGGGGTCAATTTGACCTGTGAGGGAAGGATTTGTTACTTTTATTTTATTTTATTTTTTTACCACTCCTCAAATCCATATTTTTTTTTTGTGTTCGTGGTTGAAGTGTGACAAAAGTCATGGGGTCTTGGACCCCTCAGATAAACACTATTTATTTTTTATTTTTTCAAAAAGAAATTCGGGTCAAAATGACCCGAGGGAAGGATGAGGGTTAAATACAGCCAGTTGTCTGTACTAACATCAGGGCTCCATTGCTCGATCCCCATTAGATTAACAGTGTTGTGTATTATGTAAATGAAATTTCAAAATTCTCTGTATAATTAACGAATTACAAATAACTCAATATTGTAACGCACTTTGCACAGGTACGCCAGAGCTCTGATTCAAGCAAGCTTTTGTAATTTTTCGCGCTTTTTCAAAATTACCAGGAGAATGGTTCAAGCGCATCTTTAAAAAGAAGAGAACAGAAGGTATGATATTTCTTTGATTAGTGTTTAAGGACATTCCCCTGACACATTAGAAATAATATACTCAGGGCTTGACATAACTTTTTTGCTCACCAGTCAGTGTGGCTAGTGGTTTTTCAAAGTTACTAGCCACTCTGCATTTTCACTGGCCACAATTTTGACATCGATACCATTGGGAAAAACTGCCATACAGATATTTTTAATATTATCTCATAATTATACTGATTATATGACCCATTATACTGTTTTATACAGTCAAACCAAAAATCATTCAGACACCAGATATCATTTTTGATATTTTTTTTTACTAGTGGGTGCAGGACACTATAGTTAATTTATGTAAGAGAGTATAGCAAAATTAAGTAAACTGTGTGAGATATATTATACCCAAAAAGTCTTCATACAGTGACTACCAGTAAAATGTATAAAAATTTGGGACCAAAAAGTATTCAGACACTTTGACCTGACCATGTTTTGCTGGAGTGTTTTTCTTTAATTGCTAATGCAACCTTTTTACACCACAGACTGAACAAAATTAAACTGAAGAAAATCAAACATTGCTTGGTGATTGGTTGAGCTAAATTGGTATTATCTAATTGTGTAGTTAAATTTAACAGCTGACAGATATTCAACATAATTCATTTATGAGAGTCGGACAAAGAGGACGGACAAAACTGATTCAATAACTCTGAGTTCTTGTCATATTTTATTACCATTTTCTAAACTATAGAGAATAAACTGTGATAATGTGAGAAATGTTGAAGGTGTCTGAATACATTTTAACTGTATAGCCAATATACTTGTCTTTATGTGCCGCACTTTGGTTATGAGCACAAAATCTGTGGGAATGAGTAAAATTATGCTCAATATCGCAATCCCATCCCGAAATTTAAGCCCTGTAACACCAACAATATTCATTTGGAGCAAATGAAACGAGTGAGTGAGGAGAGGCGGGTTTGTGTGTCACTCGCTGTCAGAGAGATGAGAGAGAGCGCACAGCTAATATCCTGCTGAAGAGTTTAAATAATTTCAGCATCGAAAAATCTATATTTTTGACAACACTACATTGCACTTATTATTTCAGATGCCTTTTTAAAAGACTACAATTGAAAAATGTATATTATATAAAATTCAACCCGCCAAAGTGGCTAGTAGGAGTGACTGCGTTACACGCCACTGCTGAAATACAGTGCGTTTGGCGAGTGTTAATGTCAAGCCCTGAATAAAATAATACTCAACTTTAGCACATTTGTCAGCTAAACATTCATTCTGTGTTTCCCATTAATGACCCTGTGCCGCCACTGTGAATGAACCGAAAATGTAAAACTTATCGCTATAAAGGCCTCTAATGTTGTATTTTGCCAAAGAACTAAAATCGAAACTGTGATATGGCTTTGTGCCTTAATTAAATTAGGACAAAAGTATTGTAATTTCCCTATACTGTAGTGTAAAGTAAAATATATTTATGAAATATTAATTTTAATTTATTTTACAGTGCATTTGTTTTACAATGGGCTATATGGATATAACTGTCATAGGAAGAATTATATAAATCATTATTATATTATTGTAATAATTGTTTGGCATCCTAAAACACCAGTGTCAATGTAATGTAGACTGAGACTCAAAATCACAACTAAAAGATGTTTGAGCCCTCTTTAATGTCCAGGTACAAGTCAATGCTTTTCCTTTGTTCCATTTGCACACTGTACATGGGTTGGAACTCTTAATTTTGAGCTCTCAAATTGCACCAGATTGATGCATTTAACCTTAAAATGTACAACATTTTCGGACCACCCTACAGGGACAAATGTCTACCCAACATAGCGTTACAAAATCCTGTGGGAAACACTGATCATTTTATGAACTTTACACCAACATTTTATGAACTTTACACCTTTAAGTTCCTTTTAAGTCAGTAAAGCTGTTACGCTGTATTAAAAAGCCCTTGGACAAACTATATTTGGGCTAAGTTCCGAATGTCTACTATGTCTGGCTCCGCCTCTGCTCCTAACCATCCATTGTTAGAGCTTCGGAGTGCCGAAAAGTGTGGGCCTCAAAAATAAGTGTCATTTGGAACTCATTTATAGAGTTATTTTTATTAAAAAATATATGTTAATAATGATTAAACACTTCAGTGCCCTCTGAAGGCATAATTTTAGTTTGGCACGCAGGGATTGTGTGTGTCTGTGTCTGTCTGTGTCTGTGTCTTTTGTCTTGTGTCTGTGTCTGTATGTGCAAGTGAGAAAGAATGTCTTGTGCTCAGTCATACATACTACAATGATACAAATGATTTAATGAATAATGCCTATATATTTTTCTACTCTTTAATCCAATATATAAAAATGTTTAAGGTACAGGAGTAAAATGAAAATGTATTACAGAAATGATTAGATATGTTTAACATGCATTGTTCAAGCAAAAATTGTAGCAAAATGATCTACGTTTTGCATGATTAATTGCATTTACACTCACAGTTAAGACACTTGCGATTACATTTTTACATTTTGTGGAATTGAAAATGCAATCCGCCCTGTCAATCAATGCATCAAGTCAGGGTCAGGCACAGTCATCTTCATTAGTAGTGACACTAAATGATCTTCCCAGTGATGATGCAATCTCCAATTGCGGTCTTTGATCTTGAAATTGTCTGATGAATGATAAAAAAAATGAATCTCATATCTTGCTTTCTTTGAAGTGAACTTTGTTAAATTTGCATATAGCGTGGGAATTGAAGATTAGATTTATATTAGTTTTGCAGAGACACAGTTATGTTGAACAGTTATACTAACGGATGGCTATCACATCATTTAAAACGCATGAATGGCCAAGTGTACATAGGCCCATTGAAACATTTGTTCTTCTAAAGTCTAATTTAAAGCTGAAAAAAAAGGCATTTAGAGTTAGCAATGAAATTTTGTTCTATAAGAGAAGTCACAGACAATTTTGCGACAGGCAGTATTTTATTTACGGCCCTTCTTGTTCATTTCTGTTGTATCTGCAAACCTTGATTTACTGTTGTACAACTCATTGACATCAAGGCAATAGTGTGATTGTTTTATGAGGTACACGTGATCCACGTTGACGGTTGTGCTTGCTCCAATTGTGGAGTGGCAGAGGTCGGTATCCCCTTATAAGATCTCTCCGTTGCAATCACCGCACAAAAATCCTTTTTCTCGATTGCTTAAACACTTTTCTTGAAATTATGCCTTCTTTTCTCATAACTCTAAACACAAATCCCCATACTTCCTATTTTCAGGTCAAAATTAAGCTCTCCACTCAAAACCATTCAATCTTCAACTAATTTTTCCCTCAAAAACACACACACACACACACACACACACACACACACACACACACACACACACACACACACACACACACACACACACACACACACACACACACACACACACACACACACAACATAGTGTTAAACACTAGTGAGATCAATTCAAAACACTGTTACAAAAACCACCAGGAATCATTTTATTGCTCAATGTCTATTACAGTACAACATAAATAGAGGGGTGTAGATGCAGTGAAATTCAACAATAAGCTTTAAGAAAAGTTTATTTTTATTACACTACTGTAAAGAGATCTTGCAGTAGATGAAAAGCATTAGAAAATAAAAGTTGAAATACCAAAGAATTAAACATGAACTTGTAATTGCAATACAATACAGTATACTGTCAATTACTGTACAGAAAAAAAATCAGCATCCTTGGCATAATTGCATTGCAGCAATGATAATGACCATATTTGCCGTACTAGAGCAGTTTCTTAGTCTTCTGGCAACAGACTTTCTCTCCCTCCTCTAGGCAGTCGTCTCTCAGTTCTGCAAAAATATTAAATGTTCTTGGCTACAAATTAGTTTGACAATTACGAGTTTGAGGGTGTACAAGATGTGCGACAGAATTTGCTGTACATAGAATAGTGAAAATGCTCTCATCTAAAGAACTGGTAATTATACTGTATGTGTAAGTAATATAAAAACCCTGTATATGAGGTGGAGGGGGGGTTAAAAGCACATATACTAGTATATACATATACTATCTAAAAAATAATAATAAATTGTATTTTAATGTAAACTTAATAAAATATAGTTGTATTGGTTGCTTGTATTGGTTACCTGAAAACTTGGCAGTTGCTCGTTGACAGATGAAATGAAGTATTGATGCATTTTTCCTTCTTTCTTTCTTTCTTTCTTTCTTTCTTTCTTTCTTTCTTTCTTTCTTTCTTTCTTTCTTTCTTTCTTTCTTTCTTTCTTTCTTTCTTTCTTTCTTTCTTTCTTTCTTTCGCAGTTAGCAACAGTAGAACGTCTCCTCACATTGGACCCAACACTCGCTAATTGTCATGACAGTGATGGTTACACCCCTCTACACCGTGCTGCCTATGGTGGCCATGAGTCCGTGGTCTGTGCTCTTTTGAGTGCTGGAGCGAATCTTCATGCGAGAACGGCCGATGATTGGATGCCGCTACACAGTGCCTGTCGCTGGGGTCACGCTGCTGTAGCTTCTTGTCTTTTGCAATGGGGGGCAGAGGTCAATGCCATGACAAGGGGCCGACTCACACCACTACAACTGGTGGCGGGAAATGCTGCTGCTGGAAAGACGATTGAGCTGTTGCTTTCACAACGCACCCTACAGGCAGGACTGAAAAACAGTGCCGGAGAGACCGCGTATGACATCGCACATCGCACAAGTGAACATCACAGACTGTTTGAGATGGCAGAGCCCTGTAATAACATATATTGACACATATGTGCACTACATATATTGACAGACATGTGCGCAAGTGTTTAATTTCTGACATAAATATGTGTCATGAATTGTTGGTGTTGCTATGTAATAATTTTCTATGGAAAATAGAGTTGTTTGACATTTAAAAAGACCCATGATTGTAATGCATCAGCATGCAGGTAATAAGATGTTCACAACAGTGTAATTATAATCATTGAACGTTTTTAAACCACGTCAACCAAACATTGTGTATGTACACAAGTTATCTCAACTACTGTCTTCAAAATACTTTCAATGCATATCATTTTTTAACTTAAATCATTTCATGTATATGTGGATGTACTGCATGTAATTTAGGCACTGTAATTGGTCACCATTTTAATTACTTTTACCATTCATTTTATTTGTCTTGCAACGTGATAAATGAAATTTTAAAGTACAAATATTCTGTGTAGTCTGTCAAAGAATATCCTCATGTCCTCTGGAATCTTTAGGCAAACACCCACAAAAGCTTTTACGACTGAGAAAGTGAAGTGTGTGTTTGCCTTTAAGGTGTGTGAGATCCTGAGTCCTGTTACAGTTCACCAACCTATTTTGCTCTCTTATCCACAAATTTAGTGGCATTTTTTTTTTTTTTACAATGAAACAGTATACAATTGTTGTTTTAATACAATGTCAAACTTATTAGAAATAGCACAAGTTGACCATGTTTTACAACAATAAATGCAAACCTACAAAAAATCAGAAGAATATACACTGGAATAAATACATTAAAATATACAAAAATGGGTGGACAGTCACAGCTATGCATTCATATATATATTTTTAATTCCTATAGTGAAGAGAGATGTTGAAGTAGGTGGATTTGTTTTGCTTTCAAGCTAAACTCGTGGCTCCATGGATGCAGACAAAGACCCCTTTGAGATGTGACCCGGTTTTGACCCTGCTGCCACGTCGAGCACCTGTAATCTAACAGTAAAGACTAAATCAGAGTAAAGTACACACACACTCACTCTCCATAAGGACGTTGCAAACTCACTCTGCACTTTCAGCTTCATAACGAGCTTTCCTGGATCCTATACAATACAAGAAAAACAATTCAACATTCAAAGCTAAACCAGATAGACAAGTTGGACTGATAGAAGAACGTATTTTACCTCTGATGTTCAGAGGAGTCAATTGTGCTGAACGGATGAAGGACAATAGTGTCACTTATATAGGCTATACTATATGGACACCCACTCCAGACGGGGACAGACGACGAATCATTCAGATATACGTGCAAAGGTGAGCAGTGCGTACCGACAGAAACAATGTCGCGTTGTGTTTATAGTTCCGAGGATATACTGGTGGGTTTTCGTTCTGGCTGTGTGGTATGCGATAGGAATATTCGTTTTAAGTCTAACGTATTTCCACCTGTCGCGGTTAGACGCATCCACGCACGGTGGGTTGCGAGCCGAGAAATCCAATGTGACGCTCCTGATCTGGTGGAGGCCCTTCGGTAACCTAGATCCCCTGCCCGACTGTGCTGAGCGTTATGGTATCCAGGATTGTACCCTAACCACGAATAGAAGAGCGTACACCCGCGCTGATGCCGTTATCATACACCACCGCGAACTGATGCGCAAATGGAGCCTCCCCAGCACTCCGCGGCCTCCCCGCCAGAAGTGGATCTGGATGAACTTTGAATCTCCGAGTCACTCCGGCTCTTTGATTGGTCTAGATGGGGTGTTTAACCTTACCATGTCATACCGTCGAGGCGCAGACGTGTTTCTGCCGTATGGGTACCTGCAGCCCCGGAGGGGAGAAAGAGAGACTCCACAGGTGAGTGCGCGGCACAGGCGTGGAATCGTCGCGTGGATAGTTAGCAACTGGAATGAGCATCACGAAAGGGTGCGATTTTATCGGAATCTCCGGCGATATGTACATGTGGATGTTTTTGGACGTGATGCGCGTGATTTGATATCTGATAGCGTAGTGCGCACCGTATCCCGGTATAAATTCTACCTGGCATTCGAGAACTCTTTGCACACAGATTACATCACGGAGAAACTGTGGAGAAACGCTCTCTTATCAGGGGCAGTGCCAGTGGTTTTGGGACCGCCACGGGAGAATTATGAACTTTTTCTTCCCGCTGATGCCTTCATACACGTTCAAGATTTCAGGGGCCCGCGGGCTCTTGCCGCGTACCTGAAACACCTGGACCGAAACCACTCCCTCTATCAGCGTTACCTGAACTGGACGCGTCACTACAGTGTGCATGTGACGTCATTCTGGGCGGAGCATTACTGTATGGCCTGTAGAGCTGTCCAAGCCAGCAGGCGCCAGTACAAATCAGTGTCTGATATTGCTCTTTGGTTCGAGTCTTGATGTTCCCTGTGTGTGTGTGTGTGTCAGTATAACAGACATCTACTCTTTCACTTTTACCTCTACCAGTGTCACAATGTCTTGCATATGTTGCAGGTTTGGGAATTGTAATTTTTCTGTTATTATGGATTGTGTACACTCACCGGCCACTTTATTAGGTACCCCATGCTAGTAATGGGTTGGACCCCCTTTTGCCTTCAGAACTGCCTCAATTCTTCGTGGCATAGATTCAACAAGGTGCTGGAAGCATTCCTCAGGGAGTTTGGTCCATATTGACATGATGGCATCACACAGTTGCCGCAGATTTGTTGGCTGCACATCCATGATGCGAATCTCCCGTTCCACCACATCCCAAAGATGCTCTATTGGGTTGAGATCTGGTGACTGTGGAGGCCATTTTAGTACAGTGAACTCATTGTCATGTTCAAGAAACCAATTTGAAATGATTAGAGCTTTGTGACATGGTGGAAGTAGCCATCAGAGGATGGGTACATGGTGGCCATAAAGGGATGGACATGGTCAGAAACAATGCTCAGGTAGGCCGTGGCATTTAAACGATGCCCAATTGGCACTAAGGGGCCTAAAGTGTGCCAGGAAAACATCCCCCACACCATTACACCACCACCACCAGCCTGCACAGTGGTAACAAGGTATGATGGTTCCATGTTCTCATTCTGTTTACGCCAAATTCTGACTCTAACATCTGAATGTCTCAACAGAAATCGAGACTCATCAGACCAGGCAACATTTTTCCAGTCTTCAACTGTTCAATTTTGGTGAGCTCTTGCAAATTGTAGCCTCTTTTTCCTATTTGTAGTGGAGATGAGTGGTACCCGGTGGAGTCTTCTGCTGTTGTAGCCCATCCGCCTCAAGGTTGTGCGTGTTGTGGCTTCACAAATGCTTTGCTGCATACCTCGGTTGTAACGAGTGGTTATTTCAGTCACTGTTGCCCTTCTATCAGCTCGAACCAGTCTGGCCATTCTCCTCTGACCTCTGGCATCAACAAGGTATTTCCGCCCACAGAACTGCCGCTCACTGGATGTTTTTTCTTTTTCGGACCATTCTCTGTAAACCCTAGAGATGGTTGTGCGTGAAAATCCCAGTAGATTAGCAGTTTCTGAAATACTCAGACCAGCCCTTCTGGCACCAACAATCATGCCACGTTCAAAGTCACTCAAATCACCTTTCTTCCCCATACTGATGCTCGGTTTGAACTGCAGGAGATTGTCTTGACCATGTCTACATGCCTAAATGCACTGAGTTGCCGCCATGTGATTGGCTGCTTAGAAATTAAGTGTTAACGAGCAGTTGGACAGGTGTACCTAATAAAGTGGCCGGTGAGTGTATGTTTGTTCATTCATTTAACAATCTTGAATACAATCTCATAATTAACCTATTCTTGTGCCCATCTTATACACTCACCCTTTGCTCTCTCCACTGTGGGATTACAAATTTAATAATATTAAGATCTGCTGATCCTACATCCTTAAATAACATCACTTGAAAATCTAAGGTGAAATATGGGCATTCAATATGAACATGATGCCAGAGAGGGGTTTTTGTCAGTCTTTGATCTTCCTACAGAGAGTCAAACTGTGTGTAAATCTTTTAGTTCTAGTGAGGTGGTCCTTCTACAGAATCCAGGCATGCTGGTGCTCACAAGGCTTTAGGCCATTTTATGTAAATAAGGTCTCTTTGATATGACAATTGGGGGTCTATTTTCTCACCTCTGTTTCACCTCTGGCTGAAAGGCCAATAAGGACAAGGACTGCACACTGAATGCCTATAAAATACAATGTTTGGGTGCCTTAGACGGACTTGATGACTGTAGCACGACACAGAACGTTCTCAATAAAAAATCCTGTTGAAGATACATCCAAGTCTCCTGGTCGTCGCTTCTGAGATTTCCAACACCACACTAGTAAAGACTGTTACTTCTACACTGAACAAAATTATAAACATGACAATTTTGTTTTTGCCCCCATTTTTCATGAGCTGAACTCAAAGATCTAAGACTTTTTCTATGTACACAAAAGGCATTATTTCTCTCAAATATTGTTTACAAAATTGTCTAAATCTGTGTTAGTGAGCACTTCTCCTTTGCCGAGATAATCCATCCACCTCACAGTGGATTTCCAGAATTTAGGTGCTAAATAGGAAAAGGATCTACCGCCAGCAGTCGATTTTGATATTCTATTATCAAATGGCCAGAATTTTGAGAGTCAGAATTTGATCGCAATAGACGTGAAGGACTAGCCTGACTTCGTCATACTCATATTCTAGTCAGAATGTGAGTCTGATACTGCTCCATAGGGCTTTGATTATGAGGCGTGTCTTAACCGAACCAGGAAAAAAAAAACCTCTGCACTCAATTGGATAGACCTACAACCAATCAGAGCAACACAGTAAGTGACGTATGTTGAGCTACGCATAGTTGTCAACAGAACTCACCTGCATGCACGCTGGAAGTAGTAAAATAATGAGTGTTGCTTCTTTTACTTGGTCCTCCATGAGTGCGACCAGAGGAGAAACCACAACGAACACAGGGCTTTCATTGCGTCCCATCTTCTTAGCGACCATCGGAGCCAGCTGATAAATTAAACTTTTGCCGAATCCCGTAGGAAGGATGGCAAACATCTTTCCGATCGACAAATGCCTTGATTGCAGTTCTCTGTTCGTCTTTTAAAATGAATGCGCTGTCGATTTCTTTTACAACAGACGCGATAGCGTAAATCTATACATCACAATTCTCCAGCTGCAGTCAACTTTGAGGAAAACCAGTTCAACCCAAGCGCTCTTTGATAACGTGATGATTACGTAACTGCAGATCATCTGTCCATCATCGTATAAAGCCCGCCCTGGCAATTTGATTGGCCCGACGATTTCTGAGCCGATCATAATTACACCTCAATGGATCGAGTCCAAACCGAACTTCCCGACCAAAATAATGTTGTGGGCGGGGTTCAGGCTGGCATCCAGGCTATAAGGACTATAATGCGTTAAGAGCTCGCTCAAGTACTGGGGAGCTAAACCATTCAGTGCTTTGTAAGTAATCAGCAACATTTTAAAATGTATCCAATCTTTAATAGGGAGCCAATGCAGTGTTGACAGAACCGGGCTAATATACTTCCTGGATCTGGCAAGAACTCGAGCTGCTGCGTTTTGGACCAGCTGGAGTTTGTTTATTATGCGTGCAGGGGAAACACCCATAAGAGCATTACAATAATCTAGCCTTGATGTCATGAACGCATCGACTAACTGTTCCGCATTTTTCATTGAAAGCATTATTTAGATATATTTTTAAGATGGAAGAATGCTATTTTACAGATGCTAGAAATGAAAGATTGGTATCAAAGAGCACACCCAGGTTCCTAACCGACGGCGAAGACTTGACAGAGCAGCCATCAATTGTTAGACAGTATTCTAGGTTATTACGTGAGGAGGTTTTTGGTCCAGTCATTAGAAACTCTGTTTTTTTTTTTTCAGAATTACAGTTTATTCGCTTTGGTACTATTATCGCAAGTATGTGGTAAAACCTCACAACAGTTAGTACAAAACTCAAATCAGATCATCAAAAAGTCTGTTTTTTCAAACATGTAATCACATGTTAAATTGACTAAGTACAACGCACAAAATTACACATTCACTTTTTCACCACACCTAATCAGTGTGTCATCAAAGAAATACCTTTCATATAAAGTAATTGTCTTTCACAATGCAATGCTCACAATACTTTTGATATGCTTCTCATCTGATTTACGTAAATACATTTAACCAACATTTAATCCAACTGATCTTAATGGTTAATCAATGAACCGTTTGGTAAACCTATAGATTTTCATTTCAGCAATATACAGTATATGGATTTTGAGAACAGAAATAAAATGTGTGTTTGTACAAACTTATAAATACGTGTAACCACACATGATGAGTACTCGTTATTGCTAATTGATTTCACATAGTGGTAACCACAACTGGTCACTATATATAAAAGTGGGGGTGTAAACACTGGCAATTTCTTTCAACATGGAGCAGGGTAGACAGCAAGGAATAGGAAGAGCTTGTGGACAAGGGATCCGTCAGAGAGGTGGGCATGGGCACCAACAGAGAGGTCAGAGAGGTGGGCATGGGCACCAACAGAGAGGTCAGAGAGGTGGGCATGGGGCCCATCAATGGGTTGATCGTCAGATAGAGGGAGGCAGAACTGTTGTCTCTAATGAAGTCCGGGCCATCATCATTGATCATGTGGTGAACCGAGGGCTTACTATGGCAGAGGCTGCCAGATTAGTTGATCCAAATCTAAAAAGAAGTCAATTCTATCATCCGAACTTTTCGCCAAGAAAACCGGTAAGTGTGGAGGATGTATGCTATAATTTACAGTAAATTGTAATGCATGTAAATTTATCAGACATGTTACAGTATTATTGGTACAGTGTGATATGATTTATTGACTGTATACTCTGTTCTATGCTTAGAACTGACAGAAAACCCCATAGTGGTGGCCGTGGCCGTGTGCTGACCGACCAGCAAAAGTGGGCAGTGGTGGAAATGGTGAGGGCCAGGAATGATATACGGCTGTCAGAAATAAAGCAGACAATTGAGGAGAACAATGACACCTTTGCCAATGTGGCATCCATCAGCCTACCAACAGTAGGCCGCCTTTTAAAGAGGCACCAGGTATCAATGAAACAAATTTACCTGGTGCCTTTTGAGAGAAACAATGACCGGGTGAAACAACTAAGGGCTGAGTATGTTCAGGGACAGCACAATATATTGTATTACTGTTACTATTTGATGGATCACTTGCGTCATATGTATATTGGAACAACAACACTGTAAAAAGAACTAACCAAAATATATTTTTTAGAGGGTTATGGTGCTTGACGTTGATGTGAACCATCACAAGTACATTTTTATTGATGAAGCGGGCTTTCACCTGGCCAAAACTCGTCGCCGTGGATGGAACACCATCGGCCAACGGGCCACTGTCCAAGTGCCTGGACAACGTGGGGGAAACATGACGTAGGTCATTACTTGGCTCCTATAATGCTGCACATCTTATTGAGTTTCTCAATGAAATTGAGCCGGCCTGTCAAGGTGAAGGGGTCACCTATGTAATTGTGTGGGACA